AATGTGAAGAGAAGCTGGAAAATATACACCAGAGTGTGAACTTATTAAACAAATGGGAGCGGGAATTAACAGTATGTCAACTGCTGTTTTTGTTTTTTTTTACTTATTCTACTGAGAAAAAAAATTGGATTTGCATCATACATTTATAAACATTGAAGCCATTGAGCTTACGCACTGTATTAAAATAAAAAGTCCACATATTTATAAATCTATAAAAGTCCCTGTCAAACACATAGGTACCTCCTGTGGAAGCCTGTGTCAGTTACAAAAATGTCTCAAATGCTGCAAATGTCCCCATTGTGGGACAGATAAATGACTCCATTATTATTATTTATTATTTAAAAAATGGCCAAAAAAAAGTCAAGTAAATGAATCAAAAAGAGTAAATATTGAGTCAGAAGACGGCAGCAGAAGTGAACGCATTGTTATCCAGTAGCCTTGGTTTTGTGGCTTCAAGATCTGTTTTACATCATTCAACTTTATGGACGTCCTGCCGTTCCAACAGCTGCTTTCTGAGACTGAGAGTCAAGTGATGATGGGCTATGTTTTTACTAGAAACATTACTGTGCCGTAAAGACGACGTGTTTCATTTTACAACGCCATAAAAAGGCCATACACAGTTACTGAGCTTATCTCACCATGGCTCCTAGTCGGAGACAGGGGTACTGGGCCCTGTCCAATCCAAGCTGTCTGAGGCTCATGGTTCCAACAGTGGTGGGCAGCTCGGACTGTAGCTCCATGGCCCAGACGTACTGCAGGCAGCACAAAGCTAGACCATAAAGCAGGATGAAAGGCGAGCACAGCGTGGCGGCGTGGCGCCTGCAGAGAGTCATAGCCAGGTGTCAAACAGCAGAACAAAAACTGAGACATCCACACTGCTGTGTTGACAGCCAACGTTCATCCCTGTTAATGTCTGATCTACCATGACTGGACGTCACTAAGTACATCTGGCAAGAAAATCCCAAGAGTCATTACAAAATAAAACAAGGTTTATTTTGGCAACCGTACGTTCTATTTAAAGTATTTATGCCGCTCTTAAAACTGCCTTTAAACAGTGCAAGGACTCGACCTCACACACACATAATATCATATTACAGTTATTTAGACGTCTTCATTTTAATTGGCCACATGGAACGGTGTTTATTGCTATCACCTTCCGACAAGATCATAGGTTCCCTAGTCAAAAAGTTTGCAGATGCAAAAGTACACTGTTGTTTGTCTTATCATTTTTTTTTTCCAAAATATATTTTTTTTAATGTGTGTGTTTACAAGCTAAGGCATAGAGCTGTGATTAGATTACTGCAGTGCTACTAAAACAGTGGGGCGTGCCCCCCACCGGAGGCCACGGGGTGGTGGTGCAGTGGCATGGAAGGGGGGGGGCATGAGAGGGGAATGTTGTATATTATCCTTTTTCACGCTTGAGGGTTATACAAACCTCCACTAGATGGCAGCTCCACTAGAGAGCAGGCTTTATGAATCTATTTTGATAAACACGGGATTGCAGGAATACAGTAGTATTACCAGGCACTAAACAGCAGAGGTGGGACCAAGTCATTGCTTTGCAAGTCTCAAGTCTTTGCACTCAAGTCCGAGTCAAGTCTCAAGTCAAGACATGCAAAGTCCGAGTCGAGTCCAAGTCAAGACTGAAAAGTGTCAAGTCAAGTCCCAAGTCCTGCCGTTTTTCTGTTTCGAGTCCTTTCTAGTCCTTTTCAAACAAAATAACAATATATTTACACAGATCACTTTGGGTTTTGGAGAAAGTATCGAGTCAAAGGGTTCGAGTCCAAGTGAAGTCACGAGTCACTGATGTTAAAGTCCAAGTCGAGGCATCAAAATTATGACTCGAGGCTGACTCGAGTCCAAGTCATGCGACTCGAGTCCACACCTCTGCTAAACAGTATATAAATTTAGGGGAAAAAACGTCTGTCTCCTGGGGAAGAAAGGGTATTTCTAAGGAAATCTTTAGATGACGCCAAAACATATTCCCAAACGATGAATTACTAAAAAAAAATTATATTATACAATATTTCACAGAACCTGGCACGCAACATCCAGATAAGACAAGCCCACAGCAGAAGGACAAAGGTGAGCCAGCTGTGGTAAGTGATGCTCCACACCTAAAAGACAGAAAGATACAACATACGGTAAGCGCTAACAACATAATTTAGTCCAGACCTTCTTAAAAAAGCAGCTCATAATTCTAAAGTGTGATGATGTCAGGTACAGGAAGTTGGTGTGACACAGTTCCTCTCAGTGAAAATATGACTGAAGCACGTATACTGTACATGTGTGGTTGGTATCAACCAGAGGTGGGACCAAGTCATTGCTTTGCAAGTCTCAAGTCTTTGCACTCAAGTCCGAGTCAAGTCTCAAGTCAAGACAGGCAAAGTCCGAGTCGAGTCCAAGTCAAGACATGAAAAGTGTCAAGTCAAGTCCTAAGTCCTGCCGTTTTTCTGTTTCGAGTCCTTTCTAGTCCTTTTCAAACAAAATAACAATATATTTACACAGATCAGATTTGGGTTTTGGAGAAAGTATCGAGTCTTGTCGAGTCAAAGGGCTCGAGTCCAAGTGAAGTCACGAATCACTGATGTTAAACTCCAAGTCGAGCGTCAAGTCTCTTTACATTTTGTCAAGTCGAGTCTAAAGTCATCAAATTGATGACTCGAGTCTGACTCGAGTCCAAGTCATGCGACTCTAGTCCACACCTCTGGTATTAACTGAGTCAGTGCCTCACACAAAGTTACTACTTTTATTCCACAGGAAAAGCTGACATATCACATTTCGACAAGCAAACGTTTTAAATCACTGTGCGGTGGCCGTTACCATCATAGCTATAAGAGCACAGACATAGCTCTGCTGCATGACCACCCTTGCGAGCAGGAAAAATGGACTCTCAGTCTGTTGGCCAGTGGGGACACCATCAGCACCTGGTGAACATGGAAAATATGAAATTATTTTTTTTTTTCGTTTGTGTATTTTTTCTACATTGCCTCACAATGGTGTGCAAACATTTACCCAAGTCTGACTGATGCTCCACAGCCACAGCTTCTACTCCACTGGTCTCTGACATCGTCATCAGCTAAGACAAAGAAGCACAGGACACATGTTGTGGCTTGCACACTGACTCACAACTTCCCCACATATTTTGCTCCTGTTGTCTTTGCAGCGTTGTCGTTCTCGTCTTTCTTGTTGTTCTCTGTTGTCATTCATTGCGTGATTGACACTTTTTCCTTTTTCTTCAACCTTCTCTGTACTGAACTCTTTCACCTCTGTCACCTGCACTCGTTCATCCCCATGTCTAACGCGCGTTGCAGTGACGACAAAGAACCTTGAGTCGAGTTAATCGACTTGAATTACTATCATAATATTTTCTATTATATTTATGCTTTTGCCAATAAAAGCCTTTTAAGATCATAGCATACAATTAGAACCATACGCTGATTAAACTACTTACAACAATCTGTTTTCACTGTATTTTTGAATGAAACAACAAAGTACAAACTTTTTTTTCTAGTCAGGGAGAACCTAAAAAAGACTGGGGACATGGAAAATATGTAATTAAGAGCATTTGTGTATTTTTTCTATATTGCCTCACAATGTGTGCAAAAATGTACCCAAGTCTGACTGATGCTCCACAGCCACAGCTTCTACTCCACTGGTCTCTGACATCGTCATCAGCTAAGACAAAGAAGCACAGGACACATGTTGTGGCTTGCACACTGACTCACAACTTCCCCACATATTTTGCTCCTGTTGTCTTTGCAGCGTTGTCGTTCTCGTCTTTCTTGTTGTTCTCTGTTGTCATTCATTGCGTGATTGACACTTTTTCCTTTTTCTTCAACCTTCTCTGTACTGAACTCTTTCACCTCTGTCACCTGCACTCGTTCATCCCCATGTCTAACGCGCGTTGCAGTGACGACAAAGAACCTTGAGTCGAGTTAATCGACTTGAATTACTATCATAATATTTTCTATTATATTTATGCTTTTGCCAATAAAAGCCTTTTAAGATCATAGCATACAATTAGAACCATACGCTGATTAAACTACTTACAACAATCTGTTTTCACTGTATTTTTGAATGAAACAACAAAGTACAAACTTTTTTTTCTAGTCAGGGAGAACCTAAAAAAGACTGGGTTGGTGCTGGTGACGTCCTACACCTTTGATACATCGATAGTTGAGAGTATACCTGTGTGTCATCTTCATGGTTTTTTTTGCTCGGATTCCATGACATGAGTTCCACCATCTCTTCCCTTGCATGTTCCTCCTTGTCTTGCTGCTCCACCATCTGTCCAACAAAAACACAACATCTGAGAGAGAGAAAAAACAAAACAAAACAAAACCAGGCCAAAGTAATAGTTTTCAGTCATTTCTAATCCTCCATTGATAACAAAGATGTGCTTAAAATATTGGCGTTACATTTATACCGGGCAGTATTACAAACCTGGGGTGTCAAACGTAAGGCTTGTTAAAAGAAAATGCCCCAAAACTCTTCATGTCAGAGATGTTTTGTCAAATTAGGTTTCATTAAATGTGATTTTTTTTTCTAATATACTTGTACTTATTTGCATGAAAACAAAAGGGAAAACATGGACTTATTGTTATTTACAGGTAATTATGTTGCGATTGTAGTGGTCCGGTCCACTTGACATCGCACCAAACAAAACATATTTAGGTCAGTACGAATAGATGACTATGAATAGCGCTGACCTCTTTAGGAGCTCCATGACATCCTGTCTTAAGAACAGTGGCGATGGTGATGTAGAGGAGCAACAGAATTCCTGGATTAACATAAACAGGCCACTCATGTTCAGTATTCAGGTTGAGTCGATACGGTGAGGAGCAGTTTCCTGGTATAATAATGTCCTTCAGACCAAAGAGTCTAGGAGGAGGAGAAGGGAACACATGAAGAAATTGAAAAGAGTTGTTTGTTTAATCTTTGCAACAGTATCCAAAAACAAAACAGTAACAATTCAAATTTTTCCCCCCCAAATGTTTGTGCTTTAAGAGCTGATGATGTGATGCACTTCACTACGGTCTGCTCCGTTGAAAATAAAAGTGAGAGGAAAACTGATCAATCGTTTTGGGCTGCAGCATGTCTTCATTTTTATGTAAAAACTTGTTTTTGTCCAAATTAACGTTTTAATGACATTCATTCATTTGTGTGGATTAATCAAATGAAGTATGCACTTGTTTTGTTTTTCAGCTTAAAATATCAGCTAAGAGGCCAGCAGATGTTTTTGGACGCTTAATCTTCTTAAGTCAGATACCCAGATTGCCTAGGACAAGTCCTCAAGGACAGAGCAATAAGTAAGTCAGTGGAGGACAGTTGTCAAATGGACTGGAAGGGAATGCAAACCCAAACTCCACCAACTTTATCAACTTTTCAACTAGAAACTTGATTTTTTTTTTCTTTTTCACATTTCTCCATACAAATAATTGCCTCGTGTGGATTAGTTACAAATAAAAAATGGCTGTGAAAAATACACACAATTAATTAGTCATAATTAGGAAATCTTATTTATCTGGATAAATCATAATTAATTTATGAATTCCCAATATATCAGATTAAAATCTTTAGTCCTTTGACAGGTTTGGGAATAACACACATGTACTAGTTATCTAAGTTAAATATCGTATATTTATATATTTAAATATATATATGTATGTATGTATATTTATATATAATTCACCAAATAATCTTTAATTAAGGAACTATAAGCGCAATCAGATACTGCGACAGTTGTCAAAACAAATTATCAGAGAGAAGCTAATCTATAAATGGAGACGATACATAGGAGAGCATGAAGCTGAAATAGACTGGGTGCAAGTCAACTAATTTGACCTCAGCTGTCGGTTCCATAGTGTAGTGGTTAGCACATCTGCCTCTGTAGCAGAGAGTCCTAGGTTTGATTCCCAGAGGAACCACATACTTGTCTGCTAGGGGCAACCCTGTTATCAGCATAGTTGCATAGCATAGTTGCTGTTAGCACAAGAATTTCTCAAAATATGGGATCAATAATGTTAAATTTTCTATTTTTCTTTAACTCAGATTGCTGCCTAAGAACACAATGGATCAGCTGGAACAAATTGTGGGTCAGAAAACAGGGCCCTATAAATCTCATGTCACACCAATGAACCTGCACTGGTTCTGCAAATAGGTTTTAAATCATCAAAAGCAAGCAAGTTCTATTTGTATGTATTTCACTTTCCACTTTTCTGTTAGTCCTACCCATTTGGTCAAACACTGGTTAACCAAACCAAACTGGCTCCAAGCTGGTGGGTATATTTCTACATATACCATCGCTGTTGATGCTCCAACATGAACTTCATTTCAAACCTTCTGACCTAACGTCATTGACCATCAGCATCTAAACCCTTGTCAATTCTGTCAATTTTTAGGTCATTCTAGAGTCTCTGATGAGAAAAGTCACACGTCAGACTCAAAAACACAACAATTGCTAGGACGTTCATACACTGATGTCATCATTTTCATTTCACATTTACAGCTCGCAGTGCACGCCAGAGAAAATGAGAATCATGAGGTCAATGGAACTGCCTGAGGAGCTCAGAGACGGAATTGTG